TAACTTGTTTTTAATGTAAAAGAAACCAAACGATTATTACATCAACTAAATTGAACAGTAATTCACATCTCATAACAAAATAAGCTGAGGCGACTACTTGCATTCGGTAACTTGATTTTAAAAAGGAATACCAGGGACATTTTTTGTTTTGCGGTCTATATCTCATCAAAAATGTCTAATGTTAGTAACTATTAAAGACACAATGGGGACAATTCTGTTCTAATGTAGTTTGACCATTGTAACTGCTGTGCAGACATTTTGATAAAATAGGGCCTCTAACTAATTACCTTAAATAAACTCACTATTAATGAAACCAGTTCAATACGCATTATTCTTATTCTTATCATTCTTTATGAGCGCAGCCAGTAACGGTAAAGTATCTAATTACTCATTTATTTAGTATTCCATAACTTAGTAACAGAGATGGTGAAACTGAAGTAGAGACATGGCAGAAATCCTACAATGAAGCGGGACAGTGAACTGTTCACCCATGAGAGGGCGATCAAGAAAAGAGAGTGAGCGGCCCAGTTGAGGGAGTTCACAGATGAAAAGATACAGAAAGACAGAAGCACAATAACAACAAGTAGGCTATATTTAGGTGTTTTTTGTAAATAACCGACGGTATCAAGAGGAAGTAAAGTCCCCTGGTTTGTCCCTTATACCCTAACTGCCATGAGACAACTCAAAATCAAGTTTCCAAAATCCGACACCGAGGTGGTCTTAACGCACCGGCAGATGACAGCGCTGACAAAGTGTGTTTCCCGCAGCGAGATGCTACAATACTAATTGTGGGCTTATCAAGTTGATTCGGCCACAACAGAACAAAGAAAAACAAACTTTCGCTCTCTCCAGAGGGGCAGGTCAGCCAAAAAGGCCAAACGGGCCGTTGCCTGGGCAACATTAGCCCGTAGATGTGCACGTCATGGTCACAGGCTCCTCCGACAGTGCAACACAATAAAACAGATACACAGAAAAAATAGTGCAAGTAAATACAAAAAAGAAAAATAGTAAAAAGTGAAATAGTGCAATAACATTCTATATACAAGTGATTGGAATATGATATATTTGACAAATAATTTCTAAGTAGCAGCCAGATGAATGTTATGGATGTTGTTTCAAAGTTCAGGTGTGTAATAGTCTTCTGGCCTGTGGGATGAAGCTGTCCCTGAGTCTGGTGGTTTTAGTCCTGATGCTGCAGTACCACCTGCCAGACGGCAGCAGACAGAACAGTTTGTGGNCAATGCGGTGTTAAGGAGTCGTTGTGGGTCACGCAAATTTCTGGTGAGATTCCCTGGTTTGGTCAAACCAACTACTACGCGGATTGGGTAGGACAAAGGGGCGCTTTCACACCGAGTACTGTTCCCAGTATACGTTACAATATAGTTCAGAAAATGTGCGTTCAGCACAAAAAGATCGGAACTAAAATGAGTTCACCAGAACCTTTTCACCCCAGTTTTCCGTCCCTGCTAGAGAGCAGGTACTGTTCTATGGGAGAAAAAGGTTTCGCCATTTCGATTTGCGGGCGGATTGCAAACCCGCCCGTAAAACTCCCAAAAGTTTTGTGAAGGCCGCCCCCCCCATTTTAAATTCCTTGCATAGCCCCATATTAAGGCATTAGCCCAACGACCAACGGCGGAGAGACTAACTTATGGCAACACAAAGAAAAAGCATGGAGCCGGGTGGAGAGAGGTGTTAAGCGTTTCTGGGCCATATACTCTGAGCAGTCCCCAACTCCGGGGATTCGGCCGCGGACTTCGGGTGGCAGTATCCGCCGCTGAAATTGTAAGCGGCTGCATAAACCAAAGCAGAAGAAGTGGACGTCAGCGGGCTTCTATTGACTAATCCTCCCTTAGGGACTTATTCCGCGGTGACGCGATCGGCTGTTCTGATGAAACAAGAGTTCTGAATGAACTACCAAGTACGGCAAAGTACTTGTTGTGGAAGGCTCGCTAAAAGGAGTCCGAGAAAGTTGCTCCATATGGAGTAATATGATGGCGCGTTTGACGTTACAAAAAGACTGTTTTTATACAGAGCTCAAACGGCTCCTTTTCCCTCTTGAATCCTGGCCCTTATGGTCTCGCTAACCACTTATAAATCCTGCTTTAACTTTTTTATTTGTAATTTTCATGCAAGGCTAAGCCTAAATTAGTAAAAAAAACCTGCAAAGTGCTCTTTAAGTAGAGGCAAAGTTGCTGAGGTACCGTATGGGTTGCCCCTAAATTAGTGTCCATCCAGGGTGCGTGCCAGTTGGGAAAATGGATGACGTGTACTATTTCGATGTCCTTTTTAAGAGGGAGAAAATTGGCTCATCCAGGGTTCCTTGGGCATGAGAAAACACAATGCAATGTAGGATGTACTCTATGCAAGCCTAGGAGTGCGCTATACTGCCTTATGTTCCTGAAGAGATGAGGTAGCTACCCTATCGGGTTGCCCTTAAATTCAAGAAAAACTGTAATTGGCATCAGATGGTGCCCTGGCAAGTTAGGAAAATGGAATAAAGGCGCCCATTGGGGCTGCCTTTCAGGTGATACACCCGATATAGTGGCCTCTAATGAGTGGATTTTGAGTTAAAAAAGATATACATATATATATCGGAGCTCCGCTATGGTGGAGAATTGGGATGAATGCGGCCATGGCGCACCAGGGAGAAGATGTCCATAATCTTGGCACACTTTGGTGCCTCTCGTGGGTAGGCTACATGAAATGCTCACTTGGCGCGCCTTCAGTTGAGAAAATGCTTGTTTGTTTTTCTTCGAGCGAACTGGTGTCTCAGGCAGGGAAGCACAGACATTTGGAGAGGCCTATGCTCTCAAACTGGAAAAAGGGCCTCCCCCGATAAAAAACAAAAGACCTTTTGAAAATTGTACCTTGTTTTTAATGTAAAAGAAACCAAACGATTATTACATCAACTAAATTGAACAGTAATTCACATCTCATAACAAAATAAGCTAAGGCGACTACTTGCATTTGGCAACTTGATTTTAAAAATGAAAACCAGGGACATTTTCTGTTTTGCGGTCCATATCTCATCAAAAATATATCTAATGTCAACTGTTAAAGACAAAATGAGGACAATTCTGTTCTAATGTAGTTTGACAAGACCAGTATAACTGCTATGCAGTCCAGACATACTGATAAAATAGGGCCTCTAACTAATTACCTTAAATAAACTCACTAATTAATGAAACCAGTTCAATACACATTATTCTTATTCTTAGCATTCTTTATGAGTGCAGTAACGGTAAGGTATCTAATTACTTATTTATTTAGTATTCCATAACTTAGTAACAGAGATGGTCAAACTAAAGTGGTAGAGACATGGCAGAAATCCTACAATGAAGCGGGACATTGAAATG